TATGTGGGGGGAGGGAAGTGCTCAAAAAAATGAAACTGACAAAAAGTATTTTAAGATTTTAGAGGAACAAGGGGTCAGTGAATCTTCACGGGTGAGATAAGATTTCAGTTGGGGCTTGATTAATGCTTATGATACCCATAGAGTTAACAAACTGAGGAGAATTTTGCTTTCTCAGAACACATGGTATGAATCGAACACCATATATTGTATAAGACCTTTCCAATGTGCTATTTATAGCAAAAGCACTTTTCCTGCTCATTTATTTAAAGTTAAGTAGGCTGAACTTGTGCTAAATAAGCAATTAGAGTAGAGGTTTGGGGAATGGCAGGGGTTTTCTAAGGGCTTATTTGAATACATTAAAATATCAGTTAGCCAGTACTCAAGTACCTGGAACCACTGGGAAATCACCTTTTTTTTCCCCCTTTAAAAGGTCAGAAATAGAATAAAAAATCAAGTAGAGTCAAGGCCACCCAGAAGATCCAAAGTTCCATCCTCAGAAATTGCCTAATGGAAGACAAAAGGCAAACACTTTAAAAGGTTCCTCTGCAAATCTACATGTGTAAAACCCATCTAGTATGAGGCATAAAGCTAAGTAATTCACACCTTCTTAGAGAGCTTGTAGGAGCAAAGGTTTAAATCCCACTCCTATGCCAATGGAAAAGTGGGGAACCAAATTGAATCAAGGCAGGGAAGAAACCCTTGCCATGAAATGATCTGATCTCAAGGGAATTCAGAAAAACTTGGCAGAAAAGTATGATTCAAGTGAGTTCGACCTGAAGCACATGATCAAGGAAATAAAGTCCCTTGTCTTCCTAGGACTGCCAAAAATGAGTTCAATAGTTTTGGGTTTGGTTTGTTTTCTTTTGTTTTTGTTTTGAAGGGAGGGAGGAAGCTCAATGAGGCAGCTTAGATCTAGATGAATTCCTCATCTCGTTGCCATTGGCTCTAGAGAAAATGGCCCTTTTGTTATCTTGTGTCTTGCAACTCAGTATAGATGCCAATAATTATCACTTAATCAGAAAATCCACTTTTCAAACATGCTGAATCTTGTTGTATAATTATAATGAAATTTCTCTTAGTGTCTGTTTAGATATTCTTTAGAGGCAGACTTTTTTTTTAAATGATAAGGCAAAGGAGATCTATTTTTCTTTTTGATAACCAATCCATTATATATCAGAATGATACATGATATTTTCCAAGGTAAAAAGGAGGCAGAATATAAGGACAGCATTAATTTTGGTGTTGTCTTATTGTAGTAGACTGCCAATAAGTTCTTTGAAGGCCGGTACTGCTCCAAATGTTTTCATAGTCCCTGAGCCTAGCACAAATGCATTTCAAGATAATTGACAATTAGTGCTTCTTGAATGGATGGATATTAAAAGCAAGTTTGGCTCATAGAAATTAAAATAATAAAAGAATTTTCCTAGGTCATGGCTCAAATCTTTTTATTATTCCTAAAAGGGAAGAGGAAATGGCTGTCCCTGCCAATGATTTCTACCCTGGAGAGGTAAACAAACAAAAAAAAAAGTTGATAATCAAGCTATTTAAATACTATTAACCATGGGTTGATGGCATGAGATTTGTTTTCTATTTAATATGGTTGATCCAAAGCCCAGGTTAATTGAGATTTTCTCTGTTAGAATTGGTTCTGAGCAAATTAGAATAAATGAAAACATGTTAATTTCCTACTGAGACCACCCTCATTTTACCCATTTTATATATTCACTTAAAAACATAAGTTTTCACTTATATCTTGCTTAATTTTGACTCTATGGCTTAATTGTTCTTTTAGAAATTATAATTGCTATCATAATCATGAATTGATATAGTGTTTGAAAGTTTGCAAAGTACTTTACAAAGATCATTCATTTTATCTTCACAATAACCTTTGGAGTCAGTACTTGTATTACCCCCATTTTATGAATGAGGAAACAGAAGCAAAGAAAGGCTAACATGCTAAGAGTTACACAAAAAGTGTCCCAGACAAGATTTGAACTCAGGTCTTCTTGAATCTTTATCCACTTCTCCTCCTTGCTGCCTCTTATAAAATACGAGTATGAAATTTACAGAAGACACAGCCAGGAAGGATAGCTAACACATTGCATGGAAGTTAGGATTCAAAAAAGACTCATTAGGCTGGGACATCGGGCTTAATTTAGGAAAATGAAGTTTATTGAAGATAACGTCAAATCATATTTGGATGCCCAAAAGCACCTTCACAAGTACAAGAGAGAGAAGAAAATAGTAGTTTGCCTAAAAAGAAATCCTTAGAAGGGGAGGAGGGTTGGTAGGTCAAGAGTGATGCTACAGATAAAGAATTTAATACAGTTGAGTAGCATGGAGAGTTAATGTCCAGGATAAGGCAGGTAATAGCCCCACTGTACTCTGCCCTAGTATGACCATATCTAGCGAATGATGTTTAGTACTAGGCATCACATTTTAGAAGAGATAATCAGTATTCAGAAAGAAATGAATAGGATATGGAAAGTCCTCTAGATCATAGCACATGATCAGTGGAAGTTCTTGGATCTTTAGCCCGGAGGAAAGGAGATGGTGGGAAACCCGGTAGTTGTCTTCAAGTATTTCAGGAATTATTGTGTAGAAGAAGAATTTGATTTGTTCTACTTGATACCAGAGGCCAGAACTAAGGGGAAAGGACAGAAATTGCAAATAAGGAGATTAGATTTGATGTAAGGGAAAAGCAACAACTTCCTAATAATTAAATCTATCCTAAATGGAATGAATGTCTGGAGGAAATAGTGAGTTCCCCAGTCAAATTCAATTCAATGAGCATTTAGTGAATGTCTGTCCTGTTCAAGGCTCTGTGCTAAAATCTACTGGGAAAATCTGGACAACCACTCGTTGTGTTGTGGGGACTCATTTTCATTTGTGCCTTAGACTAGATGGTCACTCAGGTTCCTTTCATCTCTGATTCTGGGATTCATGGACAGCTATGATTACAACAGGGCATAGTTGAGAGGAGGGGTAGATATAGATATACATCCATATAGGGATAGATATACAGAGATAGAGATAGTTGTAGATATACCTATATCTCTCTTTTTTTTTCTTTTTAAGGGGAGAGACCTCCAATTGCATTGGTATGGCCAGTTTCCAGTCAAGAAACTCTCTTTACCAGTTCAAATTGAAATGTTTTCTGTAATGCGTGTAGCCTTAAAGTGTTGCCGAAGCACTGAGAAATTAAATGGATTGTCCAGAGTAGCCAGTATGTGTCCATGGCAAGATTTGAACCTAGGATCTTCCTGACTCTGAGGCCTGCTCTGTATCCACTAGGCCATGCTACCACTTTAGAGTTAATTTAATGGCAAAACTATAAGACCTATTATCATCGCAGACTGTGAAATGCACACCTACCTTTATTTAATCAGGGGAAAATTCATTCTGAATAGCTTTTGTCTAGTGCATGTTGTGTGCTGATACAGAGCTACCCTAGAGAAACATTTGCATATTGTCACAAGCCAAAGGATGTAGTTTGCTATTGGCTTTTGACTAACCCATCCAAATAGTGGTAGAGTGCAGGAAAGGGCGCTAGAGGAAAGGTAAATTGGAAAGCTAAGGTCAAAGTAAAGTCAAAAAGAAGAAAAGGTTCTTCTTACTAGAATGGGTAATTCCACTTTAGGAATGTACCACTAGTTGAAGGACACTAGCCAAAACACTGAGGAGTTTCCAAAGTGTGACAAGGTAAATATACATATTGAGTTGATGTCAAAAGTGACCTCAGAGCCATGATTTCTTCTTATTGCTATGACCCTGTAGTTCTTACAAAGCTGGGTCTCGCCTTCCTAACTGTTGGGAATTCTACTGCGATTTTTGTCCATTCCCTCCCAAAAATTCTCCACAGAAAATTTCTCCTAGAAGTAAGAGCTAACATTCCCCATCATCAAGGGAAAGAAAAATGTCTGATAGTGCCAAAAATCAGAAATTTTGTGAAAAAAATCAGGAGAAATATGTTTATCATTAAATTGTGTAAAATTTCAATGGTAAAACAAATCTTGTTTTAATCTGTGTATTTACAGTGACTAAATACTTCACATCCCCCCAAAAAGTCTACTATTGCTTTCTTCAAAGAAAATAGTAGTCTGGCTCTATAACCTATTGTGGAGACAATTGTAGTGTTTGTACCCTTTCCTTACCATCTGGTTCCAATGATTTGATGTTAAAATAGAGCATCTCATCAGGGTGGATGTTATTATCCTCTTTAAGCTACCCAAAAGGAACCTTTGGGTACATAGAGCTTCTTTCCTTCTTCTTTGGTACTTCTTCTACATAAGATCATGAATGTATATTCAGAGTTTGGGGAACTACTTATTTCACACAATAACCTTTCTGTTATATAGTTCATTTAGACCTAATCCCTTCTCTAAGACCACCTCAAGGACAGAATTCCTCTTTCTTTTCAAATACCAACCATCCAGCAAGAGACATAATGAAATGACATAAGGAAATAAAGTCATATCTATTTAATTTTACCTCAGCACACTTTGATTTAGTCAGGCTGGTTTTATACTTGTATGTGTGTGTGTCTGTGTGCATGTGTGTGTGTGTGTGTGTGTGTGTGTGTGTGTGAGAGAGAGAGAGAGAGAGAGAGAGTTGTTACTATTCTAAAATTCCCATATATTCCAATGGTCAGCCATGGAATATGAAAAATATCTAATGGTTGGGTTTATATATATATATATATATATAATTTATTTATTTATTTTTAGTTTTCAACATTCACTTCCATAAGATTTAGAGTTTTCAATTTTCTCCCACTCCCTCTTGTCCCCCCTCCCCAAGATGACACGCAATCTGATACAGGCTCTACTTATGCATTCATATTAAACATATATTCACATTAGTCATGATGTAAAGCAGACTAGTAGTTGTTTGTTTGTTTTTTACAGAGATGGGAAGAGGGATCTAACTAGTTGCAACATTTTTTTTACTCCTCTCTGATCCCATTTCTGTCTTTCTTTTCCTTTAAATATATATTTCAGGGACTAAGCACAAAACCATGCTGGAAGCCCGGAATGGGAGTGGGACCATTAAGGCATTTCCTCGAGTAGGAGTAAAAGGCAAGGGGCCGATCAACAAGGGAAACACAGGCCTGCAAAACAAGACGTTTCACTGTGAAATCTGTGACGTGCATGTAAATTCAGAGACACAACTTAAACAGGTGGGTGGTTCCAATCTGAGAGCAAGAACCTGTGGTGTCCCCACGTGGACTGGGCAAGCAGACTGTCCCTTTGAACGCTAAGTATTTATTGGACATTTGTATGTGTGGAGCAGCCTGATTCTCTGAGAAAGAAATCAATGTCCTTCTGGGGCTGACAAATGTCCAGTCTGATGAGGACAAGCCACTCTATATGGTTGGGCTGTTAGCCAGTAAATTTTTGAGGTCAGATTTACTAGCCAACTAAATAAGATTTTATTTAAAGGGAAAATATCCCAAGTCATTGTTAAATTCCTCACTACAAACCCGGGATACTGATCAATCAATCCATCAACTCATACTAACAGCATAGGGGACACAGTTAACAACTGAAAATGCTTGGCTTTAAGGAGTTTACACTTGTAGTAACTATTTTTATGGCATTTCTTAAAACCACTAAATAAGAATAAAGAAATTTCTTTTAAGATATACCAGTGACAGGAGCTAAGAAAACAACCTTCAGATTATAATTTATTCTGTATACCCATGATATAACCTGAGAGCACAACACTCTAATTATAATCAATTTTGTGGGCTTCTGAACAATATTTTTTCTTAGAGCTCTTATTCACTGAAACCTTCTCTACCTTTCAGATTTATTAGGTTGATACTGAATTGTACAGACAGAGGGATAAACGTTAGTATGGAAATAAATTCATCTCTGCCTGGCATATGGTTTTATTTGCCCATAAAGTTTCCCCAAGAACTTTCTTTCTCTTTCAAGGTACCTTCCATAAAAAAAGAGATTTGTACCATAGAAAAATTACAGCAACATCTATTAGTTTTTACAATGAATACCCAAATAGATATAACCCTTCAAAAGCACATGTGTGAATTAATTCTTTTCCTTAGATCATATTTCTGGTGGGAGTGGGGAGAATTTAAGTGCATGCCTTTTGAATCTGATGTCTTAATAAATTAACTAAATCAGAATGCCAAATATTTTTAAGCATATACTATATGAAAGGGAATATGTTGGATATTGAGCAAAACAAAAGGAATAAAAGAAAGTCCCTCACCCAAGATCCCTACATTCAAATAATGAATATAAGCGAAATACAAAGAAACTTTAATATTAATGATAGGTAGGTGAAACAAATTGCAGAAGATTGTGGAAGGCGATGGGGAAATGAAGGATTGACTATTCTTTCTAGAACAGTAAGGAGCTGAAAAGGCATTGGCTAGAATTACTCGGGAGATTAGTGTGAGATTTCTGGAAGATTAAGAGGGCAGAAAATTCAAGGGTGGAGGATGACACGTTATACCATGACTGACCATGGGGTCAAAATTGTGGAGGGAAAGAAGCAAGACCAGAATAAGATAGATGGAGTGGAATTATAGAATTTGAGAAAATGAAGGTTACAAAGTGTGAACCGATTTGAGAAGATTGATTGAGTAAGAGAAAGGAAGGTCAGGACATTATAATTAGAGAGAAGAAATTTCTGACTTCAAGATTTTGCAGATTGAATAAATTTGGGTTAGAGAGGGACCTGTAGTAGTTGAAGCCAAGCAATGTGGTAGAAAAGAGAGACATGGATTTGATAACTACAAGGATTAGGCACATCACTGCTCCTCTCCAGAGCTCAGTTTCCACATAGTTAGGAGTCTTAAATAGAAAATGTCTGAGTCTAAATACTAGGAATTATAGTTCTGTGAGTGGTATAGTTGAGAAGTTCAAGTAAATTTAATTAATATTAAAAGTTCAACACATACTGAAATCTCCTAGGATAGAAGGCAACATTTTTGAGGATTTCTGTAGTCAAGTTTTAAAAGTTCCTTTCCTTTCCCTATATTTAATAGCACATCAGCAGTAGAAGGCACAAAGACAGAGCTGCTGGGAAACCCCCCAAACCTAAATACAGTCCCTATAATAAACTTCAAAAGGGAGCACATCCACTTGGGGTGAGTACAGTTTTCACTTCCCTTCAAATATGTTGAATTTGAAAATGGTTTTCACTTAAAAATGAGCTGATGAATCCTTGAGTGACAGTATTTGAGATAATGGTTGTATCCACAAAGCGTGCAAGTATTTGATGTATTCAATAAATAATTGAATCAACTCAGTCCGGGGAAATTACCAGCGTCTAAACTAATATTTTGCCATTGAATAGATGCAGCTGTTATCCCTAACACCGTTCATGTATCTTTTCATTGAACTCCCTATTTGTCACTGAGTCTAGGAAGAAAAGAGAAAGCAATAAAGAGGGCAGTATGGTTCACCTACTGTATATTTCTGGTATTGATTTCAAAGGCAGAACTCTCTTGAAAACAAAAGGTACGAGAAGCAAGACACTTTTGCTGCTTCTTTTGAGGGACTAATGAATAATATAGACAAGTCAAAGTAAAGTAGGATGTTTTAAGCCTGAGTGGCTTGGGAGTATCAACCCAATCAATGTTTTGATTTGGACATATTTCTTTTTCCCTTTGCCTTTTGGTGATCATATAGAATTCTACCTTTTCATTTTGTGAGTTCCATCTTTGTAAAATGCTCCCCCCCTCCCCACCCACACACATATATATAGAGAGATAGTTAAATATTGATATAGATTCATTTGAGACCCCAAAGACAAATGCAACAAGAAAAAAAAGTAGTATAGAAATTTCCAAAGTGAAAAAGAGAAATTGGTTACCTATTTAGCATGTGTATGTATATGTATATATACACAAATGGATAATGTGTATAACTCTCTCATTATACAAACAAAATGTCTTTTTTTAGCTTAGAAACAATGTTAACTACAGCATGAGATTAGAAATGCTAATCTGAATTGCTGTTGATTTCATCTTCTTATTAAGTAACCTTGGCTTTATTTACCTTTATAGTTAGCCAAAGTAAATATTTACTGAAGGTGAAGAGTTAGGTTTTTAAAGTGTTCGTATTAATTTCAAACACTTTAAAAATCTCACTACTTAAAAAAAAAAATCTTACTATTTCTATACCTGGAAATCATCCTCAGAGCTGCCATTTTACCGATGCTTCTGGCAGGAGATCCAGGCTAGTGATTTAGATTGAAGCTGAGAGAATACAGCTTTTTTTTTTAAATGATGAGGAAACAAAAAAATGTTTAACTTGTTAGAGGTAAGATCTTTCACTTTAAGAATAGCTTTTGTTTTTCTCAAGTTTTTCCACGTGCTCAAATGAGAGTGACATTCTCTGTGGCCCATTTGACAGGATCGGATTGTCAGATGACAGCTGCCTGTCTGAGGGATGATGAATCTTTCTCCCTTTCTCTCATTTTATTTTTTTTTTTTTTTTGCTCTGAATCTCTCTGGGTAATTTACTTAAATTGTACTCGTCACAGAGATGTGATGTGCCCATCACTGTCTCATTTACATTTCCTATCACTTGTAGTCCTATGAGGATCATAGCTTTGGAATTTGAAGGGAGCTCAGAAACCAGATAGTCTAAACCCACTTCTTAACAAAGAAACTGAGGCCCCAGGAGGTGAAATGACTGGATCACAGGCACAAAGCTTTGGAATTGGAAAGAATCTTTGGGGTTATCTTGTCCAAACCCCTCATTTTATAAAACCAGTATTCAGGAATGTTGTTAGGAGTTCACATATTTGAGGTTGCAGGGCTTTCACAGACCATCTAAGCCAGCTCTTACATTTTACAGATAAGGAAAATGAGACCAGAGAGATTGAATAACTTGTTTAAGATCAGATAGTCCATAGCAAAGCCAGGATTCTGTGACTCCACAGTGATGTCACTCACTCCACTGTCAACATTTCCAAGTGTGGCAAACTCTCTACTGTGCATTTGTTAACCAGTTACTGTCTTTGGCAAATGGAAGGTTTGCTGGTTGTGTTTCTAATGAGAATGCCCTAGCACGAATGGATGAATAGTTGGGGGAGGCATTTATTAAGTGCTAACAATGTGCCCAGCCCTAAGCTAAGGGCTGGGGATACAGATACAGGAAGTAAGACAGTCCCTCACCTCAAGGAGCTTACGTCCTCATAGGAGACGCCAACACACAAACACACACATAGTTTCTCTTAACAGATTAGTCAAATTATCAGCCAGGTTTTCCTTTGAAAAGATATTTGAAATCCTATAGTTCATTGCGTGTGTATATTTGAATCATAAATCTAGCTTTCTTATGAATGGTCCTTTGGAATTCTAACGCTATCTAATATGGAGCCAACTGGGAAAGAACACGTCCCCAAATTCTGCTATCTTTCTCTTCCACCTTCTTTTCCCTCTCCATTACAGGTAAAATTAGTATTTTCTAAGGAACCTTCCAAGCCATTGGCTCCACGGATCCTCCCCAACCCACTGGCAGCTGCGGCAGCTGCAGCCGCTGTGGCAGTGAATTCACCCTTCAGTCTCCGGACAGCTCCGGCAGCCACCCTCTTCCAGCCATCTGCACTTCCTCCAGCACTCCTCCGGCCTGCTCCCGGGCCCATACGGACCACCCATACTCCTGTGCTGTTTGCTCCTTACTGAACTCCAAATGGGAGTCATTGTACTGCAATAATTTTTTTTTTTTCAAAAAACAAAGAAAACAAAAAAAAATGAACTATGCAGTGTTTATTTATAGTTTAAAGTCTATCTGAAGAGCCAGGACTTTTGATAGTGAATTGAAAAGATTCTAAAAGGGGATGGGAGGGAGGGGAAGGGGTCAGCATTTTCTCCACATAAGAGCATTCCTCTTGAATATTGACTGTTTTAGAAGTGATCTCCAGCATTGACTCGTAGTGGTATCTAGAATTTACAAAAACCTTTGTGACCGTGCTTTTGGGCACCTACTTCCCCTGCATTGTCTTTCCTGCTTTATGAAACAACTATACATTTGTCCAAGGGCATTAACTGGTTCCAATGTATATTCAGTACTTTATTCTGTAGATTAACGAGAAGAAGAAGAATGAGAAGCAGCAGCAACACTGTGAATAGTAGACCCCTTACTGATCCTCCGCCATGTCAGCAGTTACTGGGTATTTATCAGAACAAAATTAGATGCAGTAGTTGTCTTGTAAAACAGTAGCCATGTTGCAATTTAACACCTTTAGGGTTATCACTGAATCACAAAAGGTAGAATAACCAGCCAGATCCTGTAAGTAGCCAAAACAATGGACACCAATGAAACTGTTGGGGAGGTCTTCCGAATCAAATCAATAATCTTTTTTCTCCTCCTCAACTCTGAGACAAATGAATGCAGTGTTCAGAGATATTATACAGTGGAGTCATGCTTTGGGATAACCCTTCCCCCCAAGAAAATCAGAAAAAAGAAAAGTGATTTGTGGCAATGTTCTGAGTACCCAGAAACAACAAATATCCATGTTTGAAAATATGGATGGGTAAGCACTGGGGGAAATTACGTGCCATGGGTATAAAGAAAATAAATATGGCAGGCAGCCGACCTGCTCAGTTTCTGTGAGCTAGGGATGGCCATAACCTTGAGCTATAGTGCCAAGATAAGTGCTGAGTAGGAAATCCATGGTCATCCCTACCTCATAAAAAAGGGGAGCATATTATACCTCTGCAACACACCCCCTTTGTATCATGCCAGTGGTACTGTCTGTAGGTAGAATGCTTTCATTTGGAGTACAATGGTAGTCATAAGCTTAATTGTTTAATTTTTAGATCTCCTACTGACATGATATAAATGTTTACTGTATATGTAAAGGTAAGTAGCAACAAGGAAAAAAATGCAGATGAGTTAACTGCACACCGTGGATATGGAGTAGAGAAAAACACCTAGAAGGTCTTATTGTACCTTCATTTCTATCATGGACTTCTGCATATTGGAAGCTTTATGTGATCAATGTAAGGCTTTGAAGGGTTGACAGTGTCCCTTTAAAATAAGATTTATCAGGGGTATATATAAGTATATATATTATATATATTGTATATATGTTAGAAAGATTAAGAAAATAACTTATAAACAGAAAAAAACTACTATATGAAATAAATATATAACCATCCAACTTCACACTTTATCATCAAAGTGGTAAGTAGTAAACGGCATCAGAAATAGCTGTGCCTTTGATTTGTGATCAACATGATTGACTTTTGCCCTCAGAGAGCTAAAAGGGATCTTATCCACCTGACAGAGGAGAATGCAGTCGCATTGCTCCATAGCTGAGAGACATGCCGCTCTTACACTTAGAACAAGAATAAAAACTACTACTTAGGTTTAGGGAAAAAAAAATATTTTTGAAAAGTTTTTGTAAAGGCTATTTAATGAGGAAGGGATAGGAAGGCACATGTATGACCTTCTTAAAATTACTTTTAATAACAAATAAAAATAAAATAAAGGAAATTAGCAGCAATTTGAGAGATGTCAAGAATTCATGATGAAATAATACTTTTGAACTGCGGATGTTTCACATTTGACTGTTGCCATATTTAAAAACACCCACTACAAGTTCAGTGCTCTGAGTTGAGCATGGTTTTGAGCTTTCTAATCCACAATCTAGCCATAGTCCGTGGTGCTCATCTCTTTAAAAATTGTGTGCTTAAATATATACATATATATGTGTGTGTATATATATGTATGTATGTATGTATGTATGTATACATATATATTTTTAAGCAAAAGAAGAAAAATGTGTTTTGTGTATTTTGTGGGGCAAGGAGCTCAGAAGATTCACATGGGTATTTATTTAAATTATCTCCTCAAATTGCTATTTTGACTGTTGTTTATTTTAAACTTTCCAATATCTGTAGCCTTTTGTCTCAATGGTTTGTCCCACTTTCACCTACAATTAAATTTCTGGTCCATCTGTTTAGCCAATTGAGGGGTAACTCAGAGTGTTTTGGGAGCCCTCTGCATGGGTAATACTGTTTGACCTTACAGAGGAAGATGACCCATTGGCAGCTCATAGAATGGCCAGATACGGCTAAACAGGTTCTTTGGAGCCCTGACTTTGGTTCAGTGTTTCCATTACACAAAATACTTTGGTTTTCACAACAGTCAACCAATGTCATAATCTGAAAAAAAAATACTCATAAGGAGGAAATAAAACAAAGCTAAATGTCTCCTCTGAATTGAAGATGAAAAATAAATAGCTGGTATATAACAATATGCCAAGTATTTTTCCACAATTCTTCAATTTCACAGCAGTTGACCCTTCTGTATCCTTAGGAAGCAAGGCCAGGGTTATGTGCGTTATTCTAGGGACATGAGGGAGGGTTAATTTAAAGAAGGCTGAAAGCAAACAGTATCACATGCAAACCCGTGCAAATTCTATGCGGTGTCTGAATCTCTTTGCCTCCATGCTCTGTGGAACAGTTTTGGTTCAAATGGCCGCCCTTAAATTTGACCTGTAAACATCGATTGTCTCTAACTACCTAATAAAGGATGAAGCCTGATCATTAGGTCTTACAGTGGATTTTCTATGATTTTATTTTTATTTTCTTTACCCAGCACATAACTACTTGACAATAATAAGCAACCGTTCAAATTCAGACTCCTAGAATGGTCTATCTTATCCCTTATGGAATACTGTTTCAGAAGTGAAGATGGATAGTTTGGCTGTATCAGCAACGGGGCTACACACTTTTATTGAATTAGCCTGAAGCTTCGTATCCGATTCCTGCCCTACGACAGAAGAAAAAAAATGAGTAGGGAGAGCACCTCTGATTTCATCTGAAATGAACATAAGTGTACAACAAGAGCCAGAAGTCTTTGGGAGAAGAGGGATTTTTAATTTTTTTTTTGCTACATTTAGACTAAATCAATGGTAAACAGTTTCTGGGAGGGATGGTACTGGATTTATTTTGCAAAGAAATAAATGTTGAAATATGACCAATTGTTTCTCAGACTGGCATGAAACTTTTTACATGTGACTTTTTTACTCATAGAAGAAATTACTGTGTAATATCGATGACTTAACCTTCTACTAGGATAAACAACAACTTTCTTGAAATGATCACTAACTCTAGGGGTCATTGGACTTTCAGACACTGTTTGCAATAATGTAGCACTACTTTTAACAGAGATGTGTTCTACTTTCTTGAAAGAGTCTACATAAGTTGTTCCTTAGGGATTACTTAAAAGTAGAAGCATCATCATGCAATGGAAAGGGCCATATATCCAGAATCTGAGGATTTGAGTTCAAGTTAGATGACCCTGAATTTTCCTTCTAGCCATAAATCCGTAAGCGTCTTGAGAGATATTTTAAAATTAGTTTAAAAAAGCAGGGCCAGGGAGACTTAAGTATTCCATTAGCACAATGGATCCATGGTCCCATTGAAGGAAGTATTCCTTCAAGTGATCAGGACTGCAGCACATCTATGTCTGAGCACGCTACACAACTCTTAATATTTAAATGATTTGAGAAATAAGTGAAAGAGACATACTTGATATAAACAGAATAGCTGAAAATATAATCGTGCTTATCAGTGGATTCCAAACACAGTGCCAATATATAAGAAAGGAGACAACAAATGTCAGGTTCAGCTCAATTGATCCTTAAAAAGAAACATCTTTGTGGCCCTGTATATAGCTAGATGGCTCAGTGTATAGAATGCTGAATCTGAAGTCAGGAAGACCTGAGTTCAAATTTAGCCTCCACACTAATTGTGTGACCCTGGGCGAGTCACTTAACCTCAGTTTGCCTTAATCCTCTGGAGAAGGAAATGGCAAGCACTCCACTGTCTTTGCTAAGAAAAACCCATAGACGTTTCTGGTGCTCTATGGTCCATGGGGTCACCAAGAGTCGGACACGACTTAATGACTGAATAACCACAACTTGTGTAGAATTTCAACTTTACAAGATAGACCATAAAGCTAGAAGAAAACTCACATGGTCACCTATTCCAGGCTATTGGCTTTAATGAAGACTAACACCAAGAAATTGTTTAACACAGGACATAAAGTGGATGGCTTTCTATTGCGAATACTCCATCTATTAGTTGTATAGAAATCTATACTTATAGTCATTATGGCATAGTAGAAAGAACAGGAGTAGTCTGATTGAGTCAGGAGAACTGGGCTCTAGTCTGACACAAGAATTAAGTTGTTATCTGGGGGCAACTCAGGGCCTCAGTTTCCTCATCTGTTAAATAAGATTAGAAACTGTGTCCTTGCCTTTTCTTATCCCGCAAAGTATATCTATGTGTGGCTTTGCCAGGTTCAGTTTAAGCGCTCTATAAAATCTTTCCTGTCATATGACGTTCTCCTATTGTAGAGCACTGATTTGTCTTATTTGAGACAATGGGAACACCAGTGAACAGAAGGAAGTTGTATTCTGTTTAATTTCTAAGTTGAAATAATTCTGGCCATGTGGCTTTATTTGACACATTGCCACATTTATTCTAGCCTGGATCATTTCAGAGGCTGAGTAAAGCAATGAGAGAGAGAGAGAGAGAGAGAGAGAGAGAGAGAGAGAGAGTGAGACAGAGACAGAGACAGAGTGAGACAGAGACAGAGACAGAGACAGAGACAGAGACAGAGACAGAGAAATGAAGATGGGGGAATAGGTTTTAGAATTTCTCCTCTATTGCTTTTGTTTTTATTCAG